CGGCGCCGGTACCTCCGGGTAAGGAACGGAGACTCGCAGGCGAAACGAGGCGCCCGGGGCTTGGGGAAGACGGTTTGAATGAAGCCGAGGCGCCGGGAGGGGGAGGGGGCAGCCGGGCGACCCGAGCAGGGTCGGGGTACGGCGGCGCCCGAGGGTCAAGAAGCCTTGCGCGCGGTTCAGGCCGCAGTGCAGCGAGATCGCGGCCGCTTCCAGGCTCCGTGGCCGGCGAGGCGGGTGGCCCTGGGCCTCGTGGAGGCCGCGCGCGCGTTCTCGTGAGATCTTGGGACAAAGCTCCCTCCCTTTGGCGTTCCAGAGATTCAGATCTCCCACTTTAATTTCTGTGACCCCAACTTTCAGCAATGGCTGACTGTCTTGGTCTTTTCTGTCTGTTTGTAACTGGTGCGATCTTAATGTGCTGTGGTCGGGCGTCTGGAGCAACATTTTACCTCAGATATTGATGTCCAGTGTGGCTTGGACGCAGTCATGAACCCTCTTCGTTCCCAAGACATCTATTTTTTGTTTTGACAAATTTTATTGCAGATCTTGAAGGAAAAATAAATAACTTCTTCCGTTCCTTGCATGCAGTGACTTTGAAATGTTTTCCTAAAAAGTGAAAGATGCCTAGGAACGTTTGCTCACGGAGGCATTGTTTTTCTTTCGAGTCCCTTGGCCCTCCCTTCCCTGCTTTCCAGATAGGGCTTTTTATTTTAAAGCATCGAAGGCATCGACTTGATGCCCTCCCCACTTGCAGGGACTCCAGCTGCTTCTCAGGGTTTTATAAACAAGTTTAGTTTGAATTGACAGACTGGCTTTGAGTTTGATGCCCCGCGCCGGCTGTCAGCGTTGGCTATGTGGCCTTAGGCAGAGTCGCTTCATCTCTCGAACCCCTTGGTTTCCTCCTTTCTACAAGGGAACTGCTTCACAGATAGGGTTTGGAAAAACTGGGCAAATAGTTCCTGCATTATCATCATTATTATTGTGATTTCGGAGACAGGATCTCATATAACCAAAGCTGACCTCCAACTCCTTAAGTAGCCCAGGCTGGCCTTGAATTCCTCCTCTTCCTGCCTCCACCTCCCAAGTGCTGGGATGAGAGGTGTTCAGCAGGTGTTCTTGCACTGTCGTTGACTGCTCCGCGGATAGTGGGATCCTTACTGTGTGCCACATGTCTTCAGGGCCAGGGGCTGGAAATGAGAGGGCATTTTCCTTGGCCTGCAGATGTATTCATTCATTTTTAAAAGTGCTTGGTTTGTTTTGTTTTCTTGGGTCTCACTGTGCAGCCTTGGCCGTTCTGGAACTCTCTATGTGTCTGGCAGGCCTCAAACTCACACGTATCTGCTTACCTCTGTTTCCTGAATGCTGGGACTAAAAGCGTGCATCACCATGCCATGTGGGCCCATTCGTGATTAATTTTTTGTTTTTTGTTTTTGGAGACGGGTGGGGGGCGGGGGGTGTTCAACAGTCCTGGCTGGCGTCAAACTCTCTCACTATGTAGACCTGAACTCACAGAGATCCTCCTGCTTCTGCTCCCCAAGTGCTGGGATTAAATGTGTGTGCTGCCACCACCAAGCTTGTAATACTACTTTTCTTTTTTCTTTATTTTTTTCTTGTTTCTTTCTTTCTTTTTCTATCTTTTGGTTTTTTGAGACAGGGTTTCTCTGTAGTTTTGGAGCTTGTTCTGGAACTAGCTGTATAGACCGTGCTGGCCTCGAACTCACAGAGAGCCGCCTGTCTTTGCCTCCTGAGTGCTGGGATTAAAGGTGTGCGCCACCACTGCCTGGTTTAGATGTTACTACTTTTTTTGAACTGAAAACATTTCTTGTAGGCTGGAGAGTTGACTCAGTGGTTAAAAGTACTTGTTGCTTAGGACCTGGGTTCAATTCCCAGCACCCATACAGAAGCTCACTACCTCCTTAGGCACCAGTCTTGAGTGTGGTGCACAGATATACATGCAGGCAAAACACTCATACACATAAAATAGTAAAAATCTAAAAAACAACTTGTTTAATTTTGTGTAATATGTGGGACAACTTTGAGGAGCAGATTTTCTTCTACTTTCTGGGTCCTGGGGATTGAATTCCAGGTCATCAGATTGACAGCAAGTGCTTTTGCCTGGTGAGCAGTCTTGCCACCAGGTAGTTCTTCAGAACTCTAATTCATATGCAGACCCGAGTCCTGGCATTCATCCTGTGAAACAGGTGTGACCCGTTGCCACCTTACCTGGTGATGGGCTTCAATGAAATGACATTAAAAGTTAGTATTCTGGCTTCATTGTTGTTATTTTGTGATGCTTTGAACAGTGCAGAGCTTACAGTGATGGTGTGGTTTGGATGAGAACAGCTCCAGAAGCTCATGCGTATTTGAAAGCTTGCCGGACCTGTTTGGGGGAAGTTTTAAGTTTTGTGACCTTGTAGGAGGTGTTTCACTGGCTCAAAAGCCCATGCCAGCCCCAGTCTCATTCACTCTGTCTCTTTCTTGTGTATCAAATGTAAATGAGTTTGAGGCCAGCCTGGTCTACAGAGTGAGTTCCAGGATGGCAGGACTGTTTTTTTTTTCCTTTTTTCCTTTTTTTTTTTTTAATTTAAGAAAAACCAACCACCAAGATTTTATTCTTTTTTTTTTTTTTGTAATTTTATTAAATTATAAAAAGTTTCCATTTACGCCCCTCCTCCCAACGCCCTCCCACTCCCCCCTCCCTCTCCTCCTCCCTCTTTGTCCCCTAGGGAAGTCAGGGTCTCCTGCCCTGTGGGAAGTCCAAGTTCCTCCCCCCTCACTCCAGGTCCAGGAAGGTGAGCATCCAAACAGACTGGATCCCAAAAATCCAGTATATGCAGAGGAAACCAGTCCCAGTGTCATTGTCAATAGCTTCTCGGAAAGACTGCAGGCCAGCCACATTCAGAAAATCCGGCCACATTCAGAGAATCTGGTTGGATCACATGCTCGTTCAGTCACGGTCCATCTGGCCTTGGTAAACTCTCATTAGATCCGACCCCTTGTATCAGTGGGTGATAGTATCCCTCGCAGTCCTTCGTCATTTTCTTCCTCCTTTTGCTCCTCGTTTGGACAAGATTTTATTCTTAAATAAATGCTCAATCTACAGCCAGGTTAGATGACAGACAGGTGGGCAGAACGGAAGGACTTGCAGATCCAGGTGCCCCTTACTGTGGGTGAGCAGATGCCATGAGAGGTAGGGTCAGCTGAGGAAGGCAAGCAGGTACACGAGCTGAAGGGGACAAACCGAGCCACTTGAGTCCACTCTACGCCAGGAAGGGCAGAAAGAACCATTTCCCCATAGTGGAAGTGGTGGGGCCAGACAATCTGGAGTGGTCCCGAGCTCCTGGGCCCCTCCCAGGTTTCCTGTGCCCAGCCCAAGGCATATGGGGTCCTAAAAGTTCAGGTCAGGGGGCCGCCTGCCTGTCACTGTGTTTTTCTCACAGATCTGTCTGTGGAGCCTCTGCCTGCTGTGTCTGAGTCTTCTTTCTAGGTACACACTGGGCTCCTGAGCACCATTGGTCGCGGGTGCCAGACTGCTGGCCAGGGAAGAAGGGAAGGAGGGTGGGTCTTCATGCTCCTTCACAGGCCAGGCTCAGTGCTGGCGCTCTGGTTCCGACTTCCCTAGGAATTCCCGCAGTATCCGTGGAAGCTCAGGGCTCTTGTAGATGCCCTTATGTCTGTAACCAAGGTCTGAGTGAGGGGACAAACTGAACTTTGAAGTCTCGGAAGCCCCAATATGGTACAGCAATGTTGTATAGCTTTCTGCCGAGATGAAAGGGCACAACGGGGTCATCCTCAGCATGCAAGATGAGCAGAGGACGGGAGATAGGCTTCACATTCCTCCATTTGCGATTTAATCCCACTGCTTGTAATGGGGTTGAGGAAGAACCCGTCAAAGCCAGGGAATATCACTGAAAATGGATGACTCTTTGCTTCTTCATGGATATTTGTGAATAGAGACTTCAATATGAGTCTCTTCAATATGACTTTTCAATATGAGAGAGGGCATCTGGCTCTCTCTCTCTCTCTCTCTCTCTCTGCTCGCTCGCTCTCTCAGAGGCCGTACCAGATTTGTTGCCACTCCAGTGCCCAGTGAATGACCCCAAATATACACAGGGTTGTCACCACTTATTGCTTTGATCCAGTCAAAGACATGGAGTGCATCATACGTCATGCCTCGCTCTGTTGGTGTCCTCACTGAGTCACCCCAGCCTCTGTAATCGAAGGTGACCACATGGTAACCAAGGGAACTCAGCACCTTGTACAGCTCCATACGGTGGTCGCCTCCTCTGGTGCCTGTATTCCCATGCAGGTATACAATGATGGGGTAGTTAGAAGCCAAAGCATCCTCATACCACATCTGGTCCTTCCCTTGGGCATTTTTCCACCAGATGGAGGGGATGGTGTGCCAGACTCCAATAGTCATATCATCCTCTGGCTGGAGGTAGTAATTGCAGGTATGATTCAAATCTTGATCCTGTGGTTTTTTTCAAGTCAGTGAAATAGGGGACCCTCACAAAATTCAAGCATATCAGTTTGGTCTGTATCCCAGGATACAGTTTGACAAGAAAAGGAATGGCAATGTAGAACCCCAGAACACAGAGAATTATCTTCCTCAGTCGGAACCACAGGCTCTTTCGTCTGCCCAGTGCCCCCTTCATGCCCGCTTTGTCCCCTTGCCCGCCAGACACAGGTTCTGCCTAGCCGGAGGAGGGCGAACCTGAGGCGCAGCACTCCTCATCCCCTATGGGGCGCTCTGGGTTCGCCCGCATGCATGCGCCACCCTGGCCGCAGTTGCCGGGAGCCCACTGCCGGTCACTGGCCAGGACTGTTACATGGAGAAACTGTCTTGGAAAAAGAAAGTTATTTCATAAAATGAGTGTGATGTGTGTGTACAGAGTGTGCCACAGTGGCTTATGGAGGTCAGAGAACAATTCTGTGGAGTTGGTTCTTCCTTTCACATTTATGTGGGTTCTTATTTTTTGTTTGTTTGTTTGGTTTTTTGTTTTTTTCGAGACAGGGTT